CCCCATGAGCACAGTTAGCAAAGTCTAGAGACATTTTGGGGTTCCCTGGTGGCTCAGTCAGTGAAGAATCTGCCTGCAATGCAGGAGACTCGGGTTAATCCCTGAATCGGGAAGATCCCCTGGAGAAGGGCATGGCAATCCACCCCAATATTCTTGCCAGAAAAATCCCATAGACAGAGGAATCTGATGGGCTACAGACCATAGCATCGCAAAGAGTTGGATATAACTGAAGTGACTGAGCACGCATGCAGAGACATGTCAGGCTATCACACCTGGCTGGAGACAGAAGGATATCATGACCCTCTAGTGAGTAAAAGGCCAGGGTGCTGGTAAACACTCCATATTGCCCTGGAGAGCCCCCACAACAAATATTTATCCCTCCCATAATGTTAATACTGCAAAAACCAAAAAAACCTTGACAAAGTATGACTCCTGAGAGGCGAAACACCTGTTTCTTTTTAAAAAATTTTTCCTTTCAAGGGCTACCAAGAAATATGGATTGTCTACCTTAAATGATTTTTTGAATCTTAAGTTTTTTATTTTCCAGAGGAACCACCCAAAGAATAATTAAAGTTCCCATATGCTTAAACCTGCAAAAAATGTTTAACTTGGCACAACTGTTTGTGATTCAATGTTTTAATACCCATTCTCTAGAAATGAGAACAGCCTCACTTCTAGAAAACAAAAGGAGAGTGACAACTATGAATTCCACTCATTACCATGGAGAACTGGTGATCTTAAGGAGAAAAAAATGCTCCAGAATATAGGAAGAAAGAATCTAAGCTGCATAAGGCCTGTTCACTATTAGTCCCAGTGCCTGGACAGTGCCTGGCACATGCAGACAGTCATTAAAAATGCATTGGCTGACTCTCAGAGTCAGCCTTGTCAACCTATTCGTCATTCAGCCTTGCATTATACAGGCTGGTTCAGATATTGTCAAAGTAGTTTAGGCTTCTCACACACCATGTATGAGTATGAGGAATAGGAAAGTGGCCTTTGCTTTCTGCATTAGTAATCTGAGACTATATGAAAGGTAAGCCATGTTCTAAACATGTTCTTCCTTCTAGAATTATATATCCTCCATTTCTGAGTGTAAAATAATTTAAATTTTGAAACAATTTAATTATTTTTTATAATTATTTAAATTATGTGTATGGGGATATAAGATGTTATTGGAGGAAGCTGAAAGAGGAGTACACAGACCTCTCTGCACTCTATTTTTTAAAATATGTGCTTTTTAAGTATTTATTTATTTACTTGGCTGTGCTGGGTCTTAGTTGCAGCATGTGGGATCTTTAGTTGTGTCATGTGACATATGACACAGTGTATGGGATCTAGTTCCCTAACCAGGGATTGAACCTGGGGGCACCTGATTGAGAGCACGAGTTTTAGCCCCTGAACCACCAAGGAAGTCCTGAAACAATATAATTATTTTAATACATTATATTGCGCTTAGTCACTCAGTCGTGTCCAACTCTTTGTGACCCCATGGACTGTAGTCCACCAGGCCCCTCCGTCCATGGGGATTCTCCAGGCAAGAATACTACAGTGGATTGCCATGCCGTCTTCCAGGGGATCATCCCAACCCAGTGATTGAACCCAGATCTCCCGCATTGCAGGTGGATCTTTACTGTCTGAGGCACCAGGGAAGTCCAAATGAATTATATCAAGAATTAGCAACTCCTAGACCTTGCAAATCTATGACAGGTAAAATGGGGCTTCCAGGGCCAAAGTTTCTATGGGAGTTTCTGGGTTCTATAACCAAGCCAATAGCTTGAGAGCGGAAGCAAAAGTTCAAAGAAACATCTCTGATGCCGCTTTGATTTGACGTTTTTCAGAATCACTTGCTTTAATTAGAGTCTTGACCACAACTCCCCTGCCACCTGCTTTTGCCAATTGGGTACTGAATGCCAGGAGATACTGGCTTATGTTTTGTTTCCCTCTCAAAGCACTCATTATACTGTGCTATGGTTTTTGTTGTGTTTGAGAAATACTTGGACTGTGGGCAGGCACATTCCATTCTTTGGGGACACATCAAGTTTTCTTTTATCCCACAAGAAATAGGTTCATTAGAGATATGCAACCTGCTCTCTAAAGTTTTTCCTCATACATTGCAAACTTGTCTGGGACCAAAAATCTTAACAGTATCTTTGCATTTCTAGAAAATATGACTCCACGAAAGTACACATTATTACAAAACAAGCACATAACATCTTCAGAACCAGTGAGGTTGGGAAGTTGCACTTTCCAAATTCAGTTTCCCATCTATATTTTTCTGCCAACCATGCTCATTTATGCCTAATAACTTAAACATTTTTATATGTAAAGGAGTTGGAAAGGTTTATCATTAAGTAGAGTTGCATTTGGGGAAAGCACTTTATTTGGCTTGATGATTGAGTATAAATCATCTCATATTTCCAAAAGAAGGCATATAAAATACATGTCAAAAGGAAATGTCGGGAACCATTAAGATGAAAAATGTGGAAGCAGTGACAATACTAATAGACAGTACTAGAGGTAAGTTGTATTTTTTAAGGGTTTTACATGTATTCATTCATGTAACTGGATACTTTATCCCCATTTTACTGATGAACAGACTACAGCACTGAGAGATTAATAATTTGCCTGAGATGACATACCTTGTAAATGGTAGATCTGGGATTTGATTTTAGACAGTCTTGCTTAGAACCTGAATGCTCAACTAGAATATGTACTGCCTTCCAAACTTGATGATATCACTGTTCTGAGCTTCAAGGCAGGCAAGGCAAGAATATTCAATACTTTCCCGGCATGTTACATTCTTTCAACAACTGGATAGACTGTAATATGAGTAACCTTATATAACATGACAAAAAGTATGTTTCATTGCTCTTTTGCACAAGGTCCAAATATGCTCTTCAAAATATTATTCTCATGTCAACCTTTAACAAACAGAATTTAAGTAACTCAGTGAATATAGCTAATATTTGAAATCTACAATGGTCCCTAGAGTGAATGACATTGATGATTGTGATTTTTTTCATTGATCCTTATTACATTTATGTTTGTAACAGTCTGTAATTAACTTGTCAGTGTATTTATTTATCAGTATATCCCCGGCCTCCTCTGCTTGAGTGACAGCAAGAATTTATTCGCTTTATCCAACTGTTTGTCTTAAGAACTTCGAGTCTGGCATAGCAGATGCACAGAATTATTTGTTGAGTAAATCCATTAATGAATGAATCCTCCGAAGGCAAAGAGTTCTTCCCAAGAACAAAGACTCAAGATGCTCAAAAGTATAAATTACAGCTATATTTTATACCATATTGGACCATAATTTATACCAATTTGGACCATAAATAAGGCTGAGCACCAAAGATTTGATGTCTTCAAATTGTGGTGTTTGAGAAGACTCTTGAAAATCCCATGAACAGCAAGAGGATCAAACCAGTCAATCTTAAAGGAAATCAACCCTGAATATTCACTGGAAGGACTGAAGCTGAAGCTCCAATACTTTGGCCACCTGATGTGAAGAGCCAATTCATTGGAAAAGACCCTGATGCTGGGAAAAATTGAAAGCATGAGGAGAAGGGAGTGACAGAGGATGAGATGGTTGGATGGTATCACCAACTCATGGACCTGAGTTTAAGCAGACTCCTAGAGGGAAGGACAGTGAAGCCTGGCATGCTGCAGTTCATGGAGTTGCAAAGTCAGACACGACTTAGTGACTGAACAACAACATGAAAAGTCATTATTTGTTAAGGAGTCACTGGAGTTAACTTGGCTAGAGCTAAAGAGGCAGGGTGTTCACTTTTTCACTTGTTTTTTGTTCTTCTTTACAAGCCCCGATGTCCGGGCCAGTCCCCGGAGTTTTGTTCTATCAGATACACACAAATGGCCAAGAACTAGCTGCAGGCAGCACAGCCAAGGGCAGAAAGGAAGGTCTGCTTCCACACTATGGCCTTGCTTCCTTCAAAGCTCCACTGCTTCCAATCAACCATCTTGAGGCCAGGCTTAAAGACCAAACACTTCTGGTTGCATTTGTATAACATGGAGTGCTTTTTCTCAGAAGTCACAGCATCCAAGTGCTGCATCTGGCAGCCCACCACCAGACTTGCTCCTGGAAATGATTTTCTCTAAATACAACTGCAACTGAGGGACTTCCTTGGCGTCCAGTGGTTAAGACTTCACCTTCCAATGCAGGGGGTGTGAGTTTAATCCCTAGTCCGAGAGACAGGATCCCACATGCCTCACAGCCAAAACACCAAAATATAAAATAGAATTGATACTGTAACAAATTCAATAAAGTCTTTTAAAATGGTCCACATCAAAAAAATTTTGTTCTAATAAAATAAAACTTTAACTGAATTTAAAAATTACATCACAAGTTTTAAAATTTGATAACGGTTCTCATCTTTGGTGTTTCAGGTTTGGGGCTACTCCTAACCTTATGAATTACATTCTCCTACACTGAATTCCTTGTATTATTTCTCCATATGGCATCCTACACCACACCTTGGACCTTTGCTTTTGATCTTTCCTTGGTCTGGAATGCCCTTACCCCAGTCCTTATCTCTTTTCAATTTTGACCAATGGTGTCACCTTCTATAGGGGCCTTCCTGAAATTTCCAGATCCTGCTATGTACCCTTCCTTTGTGCTTTCTTTGGTCTTAGAATTACCATATAATATTTAATAGTTTCTAGGAATCTGTCTCCTCCATTAGGCGACAAGCAATTCCTTGAGAGCAGAAACCATTTCTTACTCATTTCTTGACCACAGTTGCTGGCATGATGTCAGGCATAGAGATTAATCTCAATAAATATTGATTGAAATGAATTGAGTTGCCAATAAACCATGATGCTATCACTCCATCTGACCCTTTCCTGCCTTCAAAACTCCTGGAAATGCCAGCAACATTTTAAATGACTGCATTTTAGCACTTCTGAGAATGTAATCTTTTGTTATTTCCTCTCTTTTCAGGAACCTCTTTCTGAAGTTACAGAAGACAAAAGGAGGAATCATGTCCACGATTGCAGCTTTCTATGGTGGCAAGTCCATTCTCATTACTGGAGCCACAGGCTTCTTGGGCAAAGTGTTGATGGAGAAGCTATTTCGTACCAGCCCAGACCTGAAAGTCATTTACATCCTGGTGAGGCCCAAGGAGGGCCAGACCCTGCAGCAGAGGGTTTTCCAGGTCCTAGACAGTAAGGTATGCCTTATGGGAAGAGTCTTGGGGGATGGTGACTCACTGCAATGTTCCTTTATAGCCCCAGCTACAGATGGGACCCAGAATATCTGGGCAGGCAGAGGAGAGGAGACCCAACAAGAGAGCGACCAACAGCTCAGGGAAATCTATGGTCAAATGCAAGAAACATCTTTCATTTCTGGAAGGTGTTTAACTGGAGGAAGAACCTTGAAAAGCTTTTTCACTTCACTTTGAAAGAGCCATTGTGCCCTTTCCCTAATGTGCTATATGTTGAAACCAGCTCTTGATTGGATTAGAATATGCTGGTGGAATAAAGGAGAAAATGAGGTCAAATTTGAGATTCCTTGGGGGAGGGGGACTTTGATGGAAAATATACTGTAACTGAATAAACCTCCTGAAGGAAAAAAAAAAAGAAATCTGAGGTGTTTTCCCTTAAGAGGGGAAAGAGTGCTTAGACCCTGTCAAGGGCAAATGAGCAGATAATCTAAATATATTCTGCAAATTACTGAGTAAGAATCAAAATGCTAAAACTCTCCAAGTGGACTCAGTTCAGTTCAGTTCAGTCACTCAGTCGTGTCCAACTCTTTGTGACCCCATGGACTGCAGTACACCAGGCCTCCCTGTCCATCACCAACTCAAACTCATATCCTTTGAGTCGGTGATGCCATCCAACCATCTCATCCTCTGTCATCCCCTTCTCCTCCTGCCCTTAATCTTTCCCAATATCAGGGTCTTTTCAAATGAGTCAGTTCTTTGCATCAGGTGGCCAAAGTATTGGAGTTTCAGCTTCAGTATCAGTCCTTCCAGTGAATACTCAGGACTGATTTCCTTTCGGATGGACTGGTTGGATCTCCTTGCAGTCCAAGGGACTCTCAAGAGTTTTCTCCAACACCACAGTTCAAAAGCATCAATTCTTCAGTGTTCTGCTTTCTTTATACTGCAACTCTCACATCCATACATGACTACTGGAAAAACCATAGCCTTGACTAGACAGACCTTTGTTGACAAAGTAATGTCTCTGCTTTTTAATATGCTGTCTAGATTGGTCATAACTTTTCTTCCAAGGAGTAAGCGAGTGGACTCAGCAGGCTTCAAATCTATCACAAGTTCATCCAAACTCTTGCTTAATTTTCTTCTAAATTGAGGGTAGCTTTCCTCCAAATTTTTGGAGAGTCATTTACATATTACATCATATCATATTATTAATATAAACAGATATGATTACTAAGTAGCCATGCAGTTATACCTTCAGTTGTCTAAATGTTGCAAGTTGTATACTTTATCTATGATAACTTAATATTTCTCTTCTGTAAATTCCTCTAAGGGAAAAACATGCAAGTGAAATACATGTATGAATGAGCATTTGAGTCTAAATCTCTTTCACTCCCTTCCCAGATTATGAATATATCACCTCGTGTCTTAATTTATATATTTGAAAGCTTTGGTCTGAAACACTTTATCAATTTGTTGTCAATTTATACCTCTTACCCTTCAGCTTGCAATGTTTAAAAACAATGACCTCATAGGGTTGCCATAGGAGTTAAATATATGTGTCTGGAATGTACAAGGTTAGCAAAAGGAAGATTTAAATATGAATTTTTTACAGTCTCCTTTCTAGTGTTTAGGCCTGCTGACATCTAACAGAGATGTGTATCTGATAGCACAGCACATTACAGACACCCAGTAAACTTGATGACTATATTTTATCTGCTGGTACCAGCATGAGATTTTGTATAAACCATCAACAAGAGAAGCACAAAAGTCTCTTCTGTATCTTATGGCCTAACTCAGCTGTAGGACAAGTAATAATAGCTGGCACTTACTGGATACTTAGTACATGGCAGACATTACTCAATGACTTTTTCATGACTTGCATGCTCAGTCACTGTAGTCATGTCTAACTCTTGCCACCCCATGGACTATAGCCCGCCAGTCTCCTCAGTCCATAGGATTCTCCAGGCAAGAATACTAGAGTGGGTGGCCATGCCCTCCTCCACGGGATCTTCCCCACCCAGGGATCCAACCCATGTTTCTTATTTCCTGCATTGGCCGGCAGATTCTTTACCACTAGCACCTCCTGAGAAACCCCTTTCATGTCTTATCTCATTGATTTTTCAACAATTCTGTGAAGTGAGATTTATTAATATCCAAATTTTATAGATGAGATAAATGAGACCAGAAGTATTAAATTACCAAAGATCTGTGCTTAGTCACTCACTCGTGTCCAGCTCTTTGTGACTTCCAACCCAGGGATCGAACCCAGTCTTCTGCATTATAGGCAGATTCTTTACCATCTGTGCCATCAGAGAAGCCCACCAAAGGTCACCCAGTTAGTAAATAAGAGAGTTAGACTTTAGAGACCCTCCCCAGTCTGGCTCCAGGGCAAGTATGCATGCATTGTAACTAATGGTCCTTAAGAATAAGAAAAAAAAGGCTGATGTGGCATAAAACCAAAATCTAGAAGAAACTCACAGATCTCTCTTATACAGCTTTGCTCAGCTATACATCCCTGATGGACTTTGTTTTCATCACACATTTAGCTCTGTAGTCAGCTTATGAATTTCTAGATAAATATTATGGCAGAGAATCTTGTGGTCAGCCTAGTCTCCACCTCCTGTTACATTCAATGTGCTGTATTTGATAACTCTGAGGCATTACTTTTGTTATGGAATCCTTGATTATACTATTAATAACATTTGTAAAACTGACTTGCAAACCTTTAGCCCTGTTTTCACTATTGGGCTATTTACAACTGTCAACTGTTAACTTTTATAAAGAGTGGTTCTCAGACTGTGGTCTCCCAACCAGCAGCATCAGTACCACCTGGGAGCTACCTGTGGCTATTGGATGGTGCTTGAGAGCATGGGCTTCAGAAGCAGATTGATCTGGGTTTGAATCTCAGCACTACTGATTATAAGCCGTGGAACAATGTGCAAGATATATTCTTTACTGAGCCTTAGTTTCCTTATCTGTAAAGTGGGATAATACTTTACTCACATACATATATGGCAGTCTTTGAATGAGGAGAGCTGGCTCTCCCTAAAGCTGTCTTTCGAGACTGATGGAACTTCTTTTTTGGAAACCCTCAGCAAAATTTGCCTTACGTCTCATCAGTCAGGATTAGGTTATGTATCAATTTCTGGACCAACCTGTGTGGCCTGAGGTATGCTATATACTAATAACCTATCACTGGCCACGTGGAAATTCTCAATAACCTCACAGAGAATCTTAAATTAGGGATATAAAGACAATTATAATTTATTACGTTTCTAGGGAGATCCAAGCTGACATATGGGTTGACAAGGCCAGATAAATTTCTCTGTGTTTTGTTAATGTAAAATAGAAAATGATCAGCTTTGTGGTATTTTTTAATTTTTAAAAATTTATTTGTTTATTGGCTGTGCTGGGTGTTCACTGCTGCATGGGCTTTTCTCTAGTTGCAACAAGCAGGGGCTACTCCCTAGTTGCAGGGCGTGGGCTTCTCACTGTGGTGGCTTATCCCTGTGGAGCACATCTCCAGGGCCTTCAGGCTTCAGTAGTTGCAGCACGTGGGCTCAGGGGTTGTGGCTCCCAGGCTCTAGAGCAAAGTCTCAATAGTTGTGGCTCTTGGTCTCAATTGCTCCACTGCATGCATGATGTTTCTGGATCAGGGATCCAACCTGTTGTCTCCTGCACTGGCAGGCGGATTCTTTACCACTGTACCACCAGGGAAGCCCCTCAGCTTTGTGTTTTAACTGATCCAAAACATACCCATAGATTTGTCATCTCCAGTGCAGAGAGAACATAGTGTAGTGTTAGTCACTTAGTCGTCTCTCTTTGCGATCCCATGGGCTGTAGCCCACCAGGCTCCTCTGTCCATGGGATTCTCTAGGCAAGAATACTGGAGTGGGTTGCCGTTCCCTTCTCCAGAGGATCTTCTTGACCCAGGGATCGAACCCAGGTCTCCTGCATTGCAGGCAGATTCTTTACCGTTTGAGCTACAGGGAAGAGAGAACTTGGTGATATCTTAAAACCAAGAAAACTACATTCAGCAGCCATTTGCTAAACTCCTCAATGCTCAGGACTTTGCATTTCTAGTCCAGGAGTTGTCTTCCAGTTGCAATTTTAAAACATTTTCTCCAAATCTTTCAAGATAGCCCTAATATAATCAAATCCAGCATAGAAAGTTAGTTTCCTCTAAGCAGTCAGTCTCATCTACCTACCACCTTGCTAAGCTTTCCTTCACACAGGATTCTAAATTCAATATCAGAATAAAAGGTATATTTCCTTTGTCACTAAAAAAATCTTTCCTTTGTCTCAAAGAGACTTTGCTATTACAGTAACACTATTGAAGATATGTATAAATGAGTATAAAGTGAACAGTTACTATAGCACCAAAATGCTCAAGAAATTGAAATATTGAAATAGGGACATTTCTTCTTATGTCTCTGTTTCTGGTTTTGTAGCAAAGGCATTAATTATATTTCCACAAATTTTGACTTACATGGTCAGATAGAAGGACAGGGCCTGGGCTTCATAAAAAGAGACTGATATAGTTTAATATTTTTGCAGCATTTCACTAAAAAGTGAAAATATTCCATATGAAGTCTAATCTTCCTCTATTTGGTTAGACTTTGTAGGGAAACAGTGCAAGTTGCTTATTCCAAACATGTGGGACCCCCACGACCAACTTTCCAATATACACAGACAACTTTGGTACAGGAGACCTGGATTTGACCTCTGGGTCAGGAAGAGCCCCAGTACTCTTGCCTGGAGAATTCCATAGACAGAGGAGCCTGGTAGGCTACAGCCCATGGGATAGCAGAGTTGAATATAACTGAGCAACTAACACTTTCACTTTCACTTGACACTGCAGGTAATCAACCAAATTTGTTCAATGAATGAGTTTAATGTATTCCAGTTCTTCAGACCAGTCTTTTACTTCTATTGTGTGACCACTCTTGCCCTAGGTTTTTACTCAGAAGAATTTTCCTGTATGGGTTAGAATTTCTTCTGGAAGGCCT